CCTCTAGTAATATATTTACTGAGAAAAATGGTGACGTGTTCAATACTTATTTTACCTGCTGTATGCTCTCATGCATATTATGTGCATTTTAAATACAATTAAATAACCTGATTCTTTTTAAAAATCGAATTAATTTATTTCTTACTGATTTTGATTCATCTCCTAATATATTAATTAAAGAAAATGATTTTTTCTCTGTTTAAAACTAACTTTAAATGTTGACTCTGAATATTTGTTTCATTCTAATTAAACATGTTCCACCGTTTCAATCTGATTACAAAAATAACAAGTCTCTGTTTCTTGTTTTCCACTCGAACAAGAGAACGTTTCGCTTTATAACCAGAAAACTAATAATTTGTATATTTTATCTGAATAAGTTCACTCACAACCATTTTATTTAACTTTATGCGATGATGGTAAAATGAGAAATATTTGGAACATTATTATCAAACCAAATGTTTTATTTAAGGTTTTATAAGTATTTTTACCTGATCTTTGGGTTTTTACTACTCGAAAAACGTTTATAATCTCACTTTTTTTGCATTAAAGTTTCTTTTACAAACTCAAACTAAATCTTCAGTAGATTATTCAGAAAATAACGTTTTTAATCTGAAGTTTTGATGTGAAAACTGTTTGACTGCTGTACTTCCTGTGTTGACCACGGGGGGGCAGGCGTGTCGAATGTCGCCTCTGAGTCCGTCAGTGTTGTTAGAGAAGAAGGAAGCTCCCGCCCCGCCCCGCCCCGCCCCATCCGCTGTTCGTTAAACTGAGGCGGGAAGCGCGGCGGCGGGCAGTCACTCGCAGTGTTTCGGTGCAGAAACGTCGTTTTTACCGGACGAGTCGCCGCCAACATGGTGAGGACCAAAGCCGATAGCGTTCCCGCGTCGTACAGAAAAGGTACAGTAAGAAACTTTCATTAACGGCTTCAAAAAGAGCTTTTAAATTTTAAATTATGGAAGAATTTGACGGATTTATCATTGAGTCAGGCCTTCTCGGGGCAGTCTGCCAAACTAAGCAGATAAAAAGACGTGATTTCGTCTCTTTATTAAAATAATCTTTGGTGATATTTCACATTTTAACTATCAGTCTGTAAAAATATTAAGATAAATTCATGACTGATCCTAACATCCTCCCGCCAGCACAAATGGTTTGAAATGTTTTTAAATAGGTTTATCGTCTGGTTTTGGTTATAATTTAACATTTTTTAATGAAAATTTTTATGTCAGTTTCACAAACTTGTGAGTGAAGTTTTCTGTCAAACTGGCGCCAGTTTTGAGGCGCGCTGTCATTTAATGTTAAGGTGGAACAAAACTCCGGTAAAAAGTTTTTAAATTAAACTTGTTCTTTCTTCTGATTTGAGTGAAATTTCAAAACTATTTTAAAAACAATATTTTTGGAACTCTTTGGATTATTGGCTAAATTCGGCTGACACAGTTTTAGTCTTTCTGGTTTCAAATTGTTGAAAACTGATAAAACGTGTTTGTTTGCAGGATGGGTTGATTTTAATTTATTAAATGTTGTAACCTGTCAAGTTTTAAAAACATTTCATGATCTGTGTCAGGATGTGTTCAGTTTATAGTCTCACACTGATTTTAGGAGTGTTATTGATTAATTTCATGCTGATAAAGATATATTAATTTTAGCTCTTTGCTCTGGTTTTTTGCAGCTGTTGCAGCTTCTGCACCCAGGAAGTCTCTGGGTTCCGGTTCAGCCAACTCTTCATCGTCCAGCAGCGGCTCGTCCACTCCGGGTCAGTCCCTGCTCCGGTCCGACCTCAGACCCAAACCGACTCTGACCCTACCTGATGCTGAGCTTTCTGTTCACAGCTAAGAACAAGTACGCTGGGGGCAACTCCGTGTGTCCTCGCCCCACCCCGACCTGGCAGAAAGGCATCGGGGACTTCTTCGGCGGACCCCCCAGGAAGCCCGAGAAGGAGAACCAGAGACCTCAAGAGGCTGATGATGATGAGGAGGCGGGGGGCAGCGGGATGACGAAGGCCAGCAGGAAGTATGTGTTTTAAACTCAGGTCCTGCTTCAACACAACAGTTTGAATTATTAATTTAATTTTTCTCATTTAGTTTCATAAATGGAGCCATTATGAGTCTAAACACAGGTCAGCTGGTGTAAGAGAAATGAGTTTTTGTGACACCCTGCTCTAAATAACTGCTGGTTTTGGTTCTTGGCTCGGCCTGATCCGGTTTATCTGAGCTAACGGGTCATAGGAACCAGAACTTTACAGCATCTGGGTCTGAATCTGTTGAGTTTCTGCTGCAGATAAACGTCTGACATGAATGTAAAATATCTTTATTAACTCCTGTTAAAGCTTCAGTGAGGTGAAACCTGAGGACAGTTTTTACCTCGTGAACTTTTTCAAACAGAAAACAGACTTTATGTTTTTCAGCTTGAAAATAAAACCTTAACGTTTGTTTGGGCTAAGCGTTGAACTGGTTTGTAACCAGTCCTGTCTGTTTCAGGTCCAGACCTCTTCCTGCCGACGATGAAGACGACTGAACGTGTTTCTGCCTCCGTCTGAACTTCTTGTTGTACATCTGTAAATAGTTTCTGAGCTCTTGTTTTGTAAAGATCATTAAACTTGTTTTAAACCTGCAGACTGTTTCAGTCATTTTTCTGCTCAAATGGTTTCTTTACTGGAAAAAAAACATTTATGAATTTAATTAATTTATTTTATAAAAGAGCCTTTAACTGAATATAAACTGGTTTGTTTCACCAAACAAACCAGAAGTCCTTGAAAAACTGTAAATTTAATGTTTTTTAAACTCAAAAGCTGATTTTTAAAGTTTATCCCTGCAATTTTTATTACATAGTAAATAAATTAATACTGTTTTGCTCACATAATGTTGCACAAATGAACGCACTGTACTATAATCTGTTATTTAAACCACCTCTACTTTATTTTATTATATATTTCTTGTGTGCTTTTATTTGCCTAAATGACTTTACTTTGTTTAGTTTTTGTGTTTTGAACTTACATTGTTTTACAGTTTGTCCAGCTGTTTTTGTCGCGTGCTGATAAGCATGATAATTCCTCTACACTTCACCTCTAATCTGATGATTGAATCAACATCAGATTAGAGATGAACTGTCGAACGGACAAAAAAGAATCTGAATCTGAAAAGAGTTGAGTTTCCCGCCTCAGCGGGAGGGCAGAAATCAAGCACTTCCGGTTAAAAGAACGGAAACCCGCGAGGTCCAAACGTTAATAAATCGGGCGAAGCGTAAACATGTGAAGCGTGTGAATTGATAAGTTTAACAGAGTGGATTAAAGGTGATCAGGTGAGTTTTATCCGAACTGGATCGTTCGTTTGATGTCAGTTCGGCTAACTCCGCCCCGCCTCCTCCGGATGCAGGTTCGTGGCGGGTAAAACCGGTTTAACGGACTCCGCGCGCGGCTGCGAGAGTTCTCCTTTGACCCCCCGGAGCTTCAGGTGGTCCGGAGCCGCGGGGAGATGACGGACGGCGGCGGGTTTCCGTGGACGGTGGTCGCTCTCACGTGCCAACACAAAGACAGCGTCTACGCTTTTCAGAGAGGTGAGGATCATCCGTCGGGTTTAACGATCTTTGAACCTGCAGTTCCTCTGGTCGGCCTGAGGGTGGCGCCAAAGGACGACCTGTTCTTTTCTCCAGTTCCAGGTCAGCTTAAAGCACAAAAACATTTATAAACTAAGGTGAAATAAGCAGAAAAACACAACAAAGCACTGAAAAATAGAATAAAAATCACTAAATATTAGAGTTTATTAAGTCTACAGGTTTAACAAAACATGTTTCTGTCGTTTATATTCATTTATATGTGGAGACATAAAAAAACAGACATTAAAAAGCTGATTAGGCAGCAAAATAAATAAAGTAGTTAAAACAGTTAAATTAAATAGCTAATTATTTTTAATTGATACTTATTATTCATTACATTAAAAACAATAACTATATAAAATAGAAAACAAATAAAATACATAATACAAATCTAAAATCAAAATAAAATGAAAGGTAGCAGAAGAATAAATCTTATA